CTCCAATTCCTTCAATTACCAAGCAATTTACAAGCAAAATGAGATGAAATTCACTCCTCTAGTTCCTCTCTCTCTCTATGGTCGGCAATGCAAGGAAGAAGGCTGAGGAAAACATTTTGATTTAAGTGTAGTGAAATCAAAGGTGTAAAGGTAGTGGCCCACTCAAGGGCAAGGTTGTAAATAAGTCCAATTCATCTAATTAACTCATTTTAATCTAATTTAATCATACCTAATCAGTTTTCAGATAATTATACCATAAAATCACATTAATTATGATGATCATAAAACACTAATCAATTTCTGGTTCGGCCGTCGATAAGGCCTTCAATTAGCAGTTTAAACATAAAACACGAACAGATAATCAAACAGTCAAACAGATGGATTATGCATTTACACAGATACAGTCAGTCAATTAATTCCGGATTCCAGTCAGTCAATTCAGTACTTTAATCAGTCCAATTATCAGTCATAATCAATTCGGTTTAACGGTAATTGATGGTTATCGGTAATCAATCAGTCATTAATCGATAAACAGTATGAGGGTTGTTACAGAGTTCCACATGTGATCCCACATCATGTGGGCCCCACTACTTATGAAACATCTGTCGCTCACATGTGGATCTCACATCATATAGACTCCATCCTTATAAAACATCTGTATCTCATCATGTATTTGATTTTCTGCGTACACAAACTTAGGCCTTGTTTGATAACATCACATTTTAGCTTAAAAATCAAAAAATTATTAAAAAATTCAAAAATCCAACAAACTATAAAAAAAAAATCAAAAATTCTATTTTCTCTTTACTTTTTGCATATCTTTTTGTAAAAAATCAAGAAGTCACCTCAAACAGACTAATTTTTTTATCTCATATTTTAGCCAAAAAATTACTAAAATAGTCTGTTTTCAAACGAGACCTTATTATAACTTTAAATTTCGTATACTCCTTTTTTTTTTAATCTTTTAATACCTTATAAAAAGAGAAAGTATACCTCTCAAAATGGATGGATTCCAAGACCTTGGTTTGGGCTAGTAATCTTGAAGCTATTCATTAAGATGCAGCAAGAGAAAGGTAAAGGATTCAAGCTGATAAAACAATGATAATTCTTTTAGTTGTAATATAATTTTACTAACAAATTAACATCTTACAATCTTGGGGAAAAAAAAATCATTAATACCCCTCAGATTCCTTGCAACTATAGGAATACCCCCTTTGTTTTATGAAATTATAAAACCACCCCTTACTTTTCTGACAATGTATATAGAGAGTAATGTTATAAATACATAAGAGATGTGACGGTCAATCAGACAAGATCGTGGTTAAGGATATAAAATTAATTGGGACAAGATGCTAAAGACGAAGCTGCGGTCCACCACATATTGTTTTTCATCATAAGTGATAATAATCCGTCAGATTCCGTCCCCACCCCTGACAAGATATTTATTGGAGTTTGGGAGGGTAATCCTGAGACCTGGATTGTCAATCCGGACCAGTCCGACCGGTTTCGGATGCTAAAGAAAATGAGATTCAAGCTCGTTGGTGGCAAGGACAAAGAGTACGTTCGTCACGGGATAGAAGTTGTGGACCGGTTCTTCCTAGTTGATGTTTGGACGGACTACAAAGATACGCTGTTGGGAAATGTTGGAAGTATTCAAAAGGGTGCCATATATTTAGTGGCTGCTACTGTTAGTGGAAAGGAATGCAAAATTACTTTAAGGAGTCAAATGTACTTTAAAACTGTTTAGAATTGTAATTTGATCTATTTTATTTCTAATGTTCAGGTTAATGAAGGTGGACGATATAAAAACTGAGGTTGTTGAAGGTGTTTCAACAAGTGATTTCAGTTGTATTGAACTTGCGTTGCCTAATTTATTTTCTCAATTGAGGTTAAGATACAAATAAAAAAGTATTAAGGTTGATAAAATATTGATAAAATATTCCCCCCTTTGCGCACCCAATGCTAGTGGGTTGGTCAGAGTAAATTGTAAAACAACGATAAGACTCCAACAGTTCAAATCCAAAACCATGATAGAGAGAGAGAGAGAGAGAGATCGTTCATACCTAGACTCCAGGTCGCACGAAGAGAGAGAAAAAGCAAAATGTGTGAAGTGCTTTGAATAAGGCAGTAAAACTAGAGGAGGAGAACATGCTAAGATCAAGTTAGCGGGACTATGTTAAGATATAGGAGGAAAACATGTTAAGATTAGGGGAGCTGAACTATGTTAAAACTATAAGAGGAAAACATGTTAAGATCATTTTCATTTCAAGTATTGATACTAGCAACAGTTGATGGCTATTGGATGACTTTAAATCTTTTAATTTGGCTATTTACTGAACGCAATTTCGACTTACAAACAAAATATTATTTTCTGCCCATTTTTTTACTTCTTCATTTAAGAAAGGAAATGAATTAAAAGGGCTAGTATATGGGGGCCTCTCTCTTTTGTAATGATCCCTGGAAAATGTTTTTAATTGGGGGTATTTTGTGACGTAATCGGTGGGACATCTTTCTTTACAAAAAGCAAAGAATTGTTCCTCCGTTTTTGCTTCGCCAAGTATTCCTCTCCGGGGTATTTTTCATTAATCATGACAGTGGTTACATTAACATCAAACCATTCTCTCATTTTTGGGGACATTGCATCTAACCAACTACTGTCCCCATTTGTTAATAAAATACAAGGAATTCCTCCTCTAATAGTGAGATCTGGTTGGAACTTAACAAATACATGGAAATCTCTCTGGCAGCCTACTAAATTCTTCATTAATTCGGTAGGGACTGTTGAGTATTTGATGTCGTCTATGACGTTGTAGACGGCGTCTTGGTCGTAGTCCTTGAAGCTTATTCTGCCGGAGAAGTAATTGTGTCGTCCGAGGCTTCTGGCCCAGGCGGTTTTGCCTGTTCTTGAGGGTCCTTCGAGGTAGAGGGAGATTGGGCGGATGGGCCTCTGCTCTGGTTCCTGTTATCAGAGGAGGAGGAGAGTTCTTCGTCAGTATATAAATTGTTTATATTATTTTTGTGTATCCCTAATCTAAGGAAATCGTCTTCCCTCCAAACGGAGAGACAACAATTTTGACATAACTCGTACTGAACGAAATTTCAACTTACAAACAAAATATTATTTTCTGCCCATTTTTTTACTTCTTCATTTAAGAAAGGAAATGAATTAAAGGGGCTAGCATATGGGGGCCTCTCTCTTTTGTAATGATCCCTCGAAAATATTTTTAATTGGGGATATTTTGTGACGTAATCGGTGGAACATCTTTCTTTACAGAGAGCAAAGAATTGTTCTTCCGTTTCTGCTTCGCCAAGTATTCCCCTCCAGAGTTCGTTTATGTTTTTCGAAGGACTTTTTCCCTTAGCTGAATATTCTCCCCATTCAACGAACTCGCCCTCTTTTTGTATATACTGTCTACTTGCTGTTGGAGAGTGAAGTTTTTCTATATTTGGATGGTAGATCCTCCCGTTGGTTCCAGTGAGATCAAAAATCTCGGGTTTGAAGTTTGGATCTTCTTCGTGCATTGAACCATGGCATGAAGGTGAGGGTTTCCATCTTCATGGAGCTCCCTTGCGACAAGTATGTCTATCAATCCCCAAAAATATTTTCTTTACGGCCACGCAAACCACCAGAAGAGCGACACGTGTACAGCACTATCTGGCAAAGGAATTAAAAGTACTCACACTACTCACACCTGGGCCTGGGTGTGACTTCCTTTTTACTACATCCATACACGTGTCCATAAGTACAGCAATGGACGGCTGGAGGTGGGGCGCTGGTAATATTAATACAGAGATTTTATTTTTTTGCACATCTTTTCGTAAAAAATAAAAAAGTCATCCCAAACATACTAAATTTTTTTATCTCATATTTTAACTAAAAAATTAAAAAAATACTAAAATAATTTATTTTCAAACGAGACTTTATTATAACTTTAAATTTCATATATATATATTTTTTAATCTTTTAATACGTCACAAAGAGAATAAAAGGATACCTCTCAAAGTGGATGGATTCCAAGACATTGGTTTGGCCCAGTAACCTTGAAACTATTCATCAAGGTGTGGCAAGGGAAAGGTAAACTATTCAAGCTGATGAAATAATGATAACCTGTTAACAAATCTTACAATCTTGAGAAGGAAAAAAAAAATGAACTCTACAAGTGGACACTCATCATATACCATCTTTTGGTGAGACATATCATTATGTTTTTTTTTTATTATAAGTTTTTTAAAAGAGTTATAGTTCAAATTTATTCTATACACAAATCCAACTATACAAAATTTTCTTTCATCACACAATTATTCACCTAAAAAATTCTGAATAGATAAATCTGAACTCCCAGACTTTTCCTTTTCAAAAGATCCATGACAAAGACAAGCAGCAAACATACAATAGCCGCAGCTGCCCAAGTGATGAAGATCCAATGACTACAACATCAACAAATAAATACAGCATCCAACCAGATTTCCAAGTATTTGCTAGTTTACTTTAAATAATTATAAATATAAATTGTAACAAAAATAATACTAACAATATTTTAAATTTTTAACTTGTCAAAAAAATGTTCCAAAGGAATGCTATGTTTGTGCAATGTGCATACCAACAAATACCAAAATTAAGGTCAAGTTTGGAAAGTTGAAAATAATCCATCTTTTTATCTTTTTATCTTTTTTCCATCACATCACCTCTCTACTTTTCTGCACATCTTTTCGTAAAAAGACAAAAAGTACACTTATTTAGGTCATCCCAAACAACCCTTAAATAGGAAGCTCCAATTCCAAGGTATCACATGTACACGTTCAACATAACACTGTGATAAGTCACTTTAATTCACTTCCTCAACTTCTTTGCTTGAAAAGAGAGAACAGCCCTAGTGTATTCCATGAAATTCATAGTTACACACTAGCATGACTCTTTCTCATAATGATCTGTCTTGTTTTTACTCATTCCTCTTCTGAAAAAATAATTATAATTATAATTTAAAATTCATATTCAAAGCTTTGAAATAAAAAAGAATTAAATTTACCACTGCATAAAACTTACAATTAAAATTTATTCAAACCTTTTCCACATTTTTTAGCTTTCACATAAATTTGTTGAAACATTTGTTAATTAATCATTATTATCCTCCGATAATTCAAAATTAACAAATTAACTAAATCTCAACTAATCATAATCTGATCTGCAACTGCAACTGCAAAGAAACTGTTGTGTGTTTCCCACTCAAGACCTAAAAAAACCCATTAATCAATTCGAAACCTGTGTTTTCCACCTAATCTTCTTCTTCTTCTTATCACTTTGTTCCCCACCAAATTTCAAAATTATTTTTCTGAAGCATTACCAAAGAACCAAAATCAACCCCTATTGATCCATCGATCCAAAAGTTCTCTATATTCCACCATTTCGATTCAAAGTTATAGCCTTTTTAATCGATTCTGCTGATTCCAATTCGCTTCACCCCTGCATTCCTAACACTACCTTCCATTCCACTCTGATCAAGTCCTCTTGACAAGTAACTCCTGACTTCTTTCTTGATCATCTCTTGCATCACATTAAGAAACTCAGTGCTAAACATCGGCTTCTCCACCGCTGCTGCGGTGGATGGTCCAGACTCTGTGCTTTGACTACGGCTATGACTCGGCTGAGTTACCGCACTAGGACTCGGACTATAGTTTTTATCATGAATCTCATACGGATGAGAATCTCCGAATAGAGAGAGAGTGAGCGCAGTCGGAGGAGGAGGAATTACCATCTCCGAAATCGGAGTCGATTCTACAGGTCTCGCTATGGGTCGGAACAAATTCGAATTCACATTCATCTGTGAAATCACTTGAACGCTCGAATCGCTAGCATCCGATGCCGATGCGGATGGACTCTCGGAGTTAATCCCCACCGTCACATCACCGCTTTCCAATCGCCTTATTACTTGACCACCACCACGCTCATCACCACCACCACCGGCGTCGCCTTCGAGCATCGCCGCCGGGAACTTCCTCTTCAGAGTCGAGTTCCAGTGATTCTTCACAGCGTTGTCGGTTCGACCGTTGAGAAGTCTCGAGATCGTCGCCCATTTGTTCCCGAACCGAGCGTGAGCACGAAGGATGAGGTCGTCCTCTTCGGGGCTAAACGCACGGTGCTCCACCTCCGGTGAAAGCTGATTACACCACCGGAGCCGACACGATTTGCCGGATCTCCCCGGAATGAACCTACTGATCAGCGACCAGTTCCGAGCACCGTGTCGCTGCACAAGCTTCTGCAGCGACTCGTCCTCTTCGGTACTCCATGGTCCCTTGATTCGATCCACATCTTTCTGCGTCGCCTCCATTACCCATGATCGATTCTCCATCCAAACCCTAACCCTAATATATAGATATAGTTGATAGATATATATAATTTTACAGGGAGAGAGAGAGGGAGAGGCGGGCTAGGAGAGAGAGGGAGAGGCGGGCTAGGAGAGGAGAGGAGAGGAGAGGAGGGGTGGGGTGAGAGAAAGGGGAGAAGAAAGAGTTTATGTAGGGTGATTAGGGTAACCGATTGGATCGGTGGAAGAGATGCAGGTGAGGAGCGCAACGGTTACTGGTATAGTAAGTAGGCGGTTGGGTTGAGTACAGCTGTATAACGACACACGTCGCCACATAAGTGCACTGCTGGGTTGGGGTTGGATTTGAGAGAATCCCAGGAATAATTCGTTAGCATGGAGCTTATCGGGGAAGGGTTTTTACTTTCCATATTTTGACCAGGGTAAATTACATTAACAATTTTTATAATTTAGGACTTGTATTATTTTAGTTCTTGATCTTTTAATTGTGATATATTTAAATTTAAATTTTAAATCTTGTTTTAAATAAAGACAATTAGTATATTATTGTTTAATTTTACCGACAAAATCGTCAATTTGATAACATATAAATTAATTTGACAAAAATAAATGTTAAAAAAATATTTTAAAATTCTTAAAAATTATTTCTACCTACCAAAAATAAAATTATGTAAAATTAATAAAAGTTACATAATTAATTTTTAAAAATTAATTTTACATTATTATCATCTAAATATATAATAAAAATTAATTTGGTTAAAAAAAAGAAATAAATGTCTAAAAGATTTATCAAGTTTATATAATTTTATCTTTAGTAGGTAGAAATAATTTTAAAAAATTTAAAAATAATTTTTTAACATTTATTTTTGTCAAATTAATTTATATTTTATCAAATTGATAATTTTGCCTTTGAAAAATTCAATAGTATCTTCAATTGTCCTTATTTGGAACAAGATTCAAAATTCATGGTCAAATATGTCACAATTGAAAAGTCAATGACCAAAATAACACAAGTCACAAACTATAGGGACCGTTAGTGTAATTCACTCTTTTGACTATTAGACTTTTCATTGTGTTTGGTTGTGAGATTTGAAAAATAAAATTAAAAAAAATATATATGTAAAATTAAATAAAATATAAGCATATTTTATTTACATTTTACTTATTTTTTTATTTTTCTTTCTAAATTTATTTTTAAACCTCTCAACTAAACACAATATTATGATTATAAAAGGTAAATTATAATAATTTTAGGTCTTACCATTAAATTTTCTGAATTTATTTTGTTTGGGATTGTGTGAATTTGTAGGGTGTGGGGTCTATGTACAAAGATAATAATCTTTGAATAGTTAAGTTTGAATTTATAATTTATGAGTTTGGTTATGGTGTGCAACTTACACCTTATACCTTACACTTACACCTTACACTTATACTTTTTGTAAAAAATTAAACCTTACACTTACACCTTTTTTGAGGTTGCACACCATGTGCAACCCACTTACACCTTACACCTTACACCTTACACTTACACCTTCCACTTACACCTTATACTTATACTTACACCTTACACTTACACTTTTTGTGTAAGTGGCACATGGTGTGCACTTGCACACTTAAGAAAACTCCTTTATAATATTACTATGTTTGGAAATATGGATTGGGTTGGATTTGGGTTATTTTAGTCATAAAAAGATAAAATAATTTTTTAACTAAATAAGACAAAATATTACATCCAACTCATAATCATTATATTCTTTCTTTCATAAAAAATCAAAAATGCCAAAAAAACCTTTCCAAATGAAGCTTTTTAGTCCCAGGTTAAAATAGCTAAAAATTCAACCTACTTCCCAAACGAACCCTAGATAAATTATTGAGAAATTTTTTTTAAGGTTCCTGATATTAAAATTTTATAAAATAAAAGACATAATATTTTCATAATAGTTAGGGTTTCTTAATATTTTCACAGAGAAAATTCGACTCAGAGAAATTTGTGCCGGATTTAGAGAAATTTCGACGTAACTCAAAGAATTTTCGATCTCGACATAAAGAAATTTCTCTGATTTCATAGAGAAATTTTAAAATTTTTCTGGTATAATCACAGAGAAATTTCATCGAGGGACTTTAGTTAATAAATAAATAAATAAATATTTTGACCTCTCTTACTATATAAAGTTAGAAAGGAGTATTTCACTAATTTTTCCTAAATTATTATAGACTTATTTTCGCTAATTTTTTTAGTAGAGTTTATTCAATATTTATAATAATTATATATAATTTGAATAATTTAAAAAAAAAAATTAATCTCTTTATAATTAAACTAATTTTTAAAAAAAAAAATTTAATCTCTTTATAATTAAACTAATTTTTTTTTTCGACAGAAATGTATTAGAACTTACGCTAATAAACAAACATAAAATTCAATACGTGTGGGCAGGTTAGAAAATTTTAAAATTTTATTTATTTAACATGAAATTGAAATAATTTTTTTAAGTCATTGATTATATCCTAAGAAAATTAAAGTTTCATTTGGTATTAGTCACGGTAGTCAAACTTTTTGTGTTGAGACTTTTTTAATCTCGTTATTTTTTAGTTTTTTTTACTTTTGTTAGAGAAAAAGTATAATGATTATGATTTAGATGTGACATTATATTTTATTGACTTATATAGCTTATTTTATTTTTTTTATATTTTTTTAACCCAAAATATTTATCAAACGAGAACTAATATATATTATTTTTCTTTAAAAACAGTTGGATTCCAACAAAATTAGAATTACTTTAATTCAATTGACTGAGTTACTTAAATAGCGTTCCCTTTTTTACAAGTTTTTTATTATTAATAGATTTGGAAAGTAAATCAAGTTGGTCGAGCGCAACACATTAAGCCTCCGTTTGAGAATTGGGTTGGCTTTTTAGTTTTTTGACTTTTTTGATTATTTTAGCCTGGGCTAAAAAGCTTGATTTGGGAAGGACTTTTTGGCTTTTTGACTTTTTTGACTTTTTTTGTGAGAGAAGAGTGTAATGATTATGCGTTGGATGTGATGTTTTGTTTTTTGTGGCTAAAATAGCCTATTTTGTCTTTTGTGGCTAAAATAGCTAAAAAAGTCCACTTTTGTTCTTCCCAAACGGACTCTAAAGATTACAGTTTACAAATTATTTTTTTGAATTTTGTTTTTATGGTTCTTGATAGTAAAATTTTGGGCAAATTACATGTATCTCCCTCGAGGTTTAACTAAAATTACAGATACCTCCATGAGATTTATATTTTCATAACAAATTGTCCTCTGAGATTTATATTTTCATAACAATTTGCCCCCTAATTTGTTATGCAAATAGTATCTTCAGAGGGGTATTTGTAATTTCTCAAACCTCAAGGGGTATCTATAATTTTGTTAAACCTCAGGGGTATATGTAATTTGCCCTAAAATTTTATAAGACAAAGAACATATATTTTTATACTAGTAAAGGTCCCTCACCATTTGTACAAAAAAAAATTTGACTTTCTCTGTAAAAATTGAAATTTCTCTAAACCGGGTGAAATTTTTTTTGAGTCTGACAAAAAAATTTTAAGTCGAATTTTCTCTGTGAAAATGTTAGGAGATCTTAACTATTTAAAAAAATATATATCTTGGACCTTTCCTACTACATAAAGTGTTCGTTTGGGATATGGGTTGATTTTTTGACCTTTTTAACCTGGGGCTAAAAAAACCCTCGCTTATGATAGGCTTTTTGACTTTTATAAGAGAAAAAATAAAATGATTATGTGTTGGATGTGATATTTTATACTATTTGGCTAAAATAGTATATTTTATCTTATATAACTATTTTAGCCCAAACCCTCATCCCAAACAGGCTCGAAGTTGAATAGCGATTTTTCACTAATTTTTCCTTATTTTTTCAGACAATTTTTCGTGGAACCTAAATAAGAAACTTATTTATTTTATATTCAATTATTTCGAAGGTAAAAACATAAATTTTGAAATAACAATAATTTATAAGTCAAAATCTAGGCTAAAATTGATTGCCGTGTTCGATTTGTATACTACTATTATAAAGTGGGTGTTTGAAAAGTTATTATTTTAATAAGTTATTTTAATTTTTGGCTATTTAGGATGCTAAAATTTTTGTGTTTGAGAAGATAGTTGAATTTTTTTGTAGTTAGATATGATGTTTATAAGAAAAAAATAAAATGATTACGTGTTTGATGTGACATTTTATCTTATTGACTATTGTAGTCTATTTTGTCTTTTAGTACTATTTTAGCCCCCACACACACAAAAAAAAAAAAAAAAAAAAAAAAAGGCAAAAAAGCTTCTTCAAAGTTACCGTATTAACTAAGGTGGGGTTCAACAATGACCTTTTTTTTATAAATTTTTTTGTTATTTTTTATAAAGATTTTTTTATTTAAAAAAAAAAAAGTTCTACTACTATAAAATGTAAATAAGAAACTAAAAAATTGACATAAGTTTGTTATTAAAATAAATTAAAATGACTTATTTAATGTTTGTCAAATAAAAGCTAAAATTGGTTGTTGTGTTCAACTAGGCTTATAGTATGATGTACTTACCATATTAAATCAAACAGCACAATCAAATTTAGCGTATTGGTTGTTGTCCAATTAGACCATATTATTGCCCATGAACTTGAAATCCAACTAACAACTTTTATTTTAAGTAGTGATATGCAAATTCAATTATGTATATCTATACTATATATTAAGCAAAAGGAGGTTTTAACCCCCAATGGTTGTGAGAGCTCTAATATCTCAATCCTAATTTTCTAATTTTTTGATTTAAAAAAAAAAAACCTCAGCATTTATTAATTTCTCCCAATCCCCATGCCTTTTGGGAAATTTGGTCAAAACCCCTTTATAATTAAACTTTAATGCATTAAAAACTAACATAAACAAAATTCCATGAAAATTTCAATACATCTATCTATGTATATTATATTATCTATATCTATATCTATCTATCTATCTATATCTATACTATATATTAAGCAAAAGGGGGTTTTTAACCCCCAAGGCCCGTGGGAGTTTCAACATCCGAGTCTGAATTTTTTATATTTTTTATTAAAAAAAGAAAAACTCAACATTTATTGATTTGGTCAAAATCCCCTGATCAACATTTATTAACTTTTTTCAATCCACATGTTTTTTCACATGCCTAC